AGGCTAGAAAAAGCAAATGAAAAAAAAAAATCTTCACCAAGAAATTGTCTGAGGAATCATAGTTTAAACATAGTGATGTACTATTTCTGAGTCAGACATTTATGCAAGTTTTTATGTCATCCATTACACGGGCTATATAAGTACAATGCATTTACCATACAGATTATTTTCAGGTATTTATATTTTTTAAGTATAAACTTGAAAATAAGGATAGGAGATGAAAATGTCTAGATGAAGGAAGGCATACTTTAAACTGTTAGGTTTATAGAAGAAGAGAAAATGGACATGCCAATTAATATGCTTCAATGTTTTCAGTAAAAGGTAGATGCAATAACGTACATGAACAATAGTCACTTCTTTGTGCTAATTGAATAAGCAATGATATTTAAAAGAGATGAACATCTTCATGCCTTTTTGCACCAACCAGCTAAAATGTTGCAACATATGCCTTAAACAGTATGCTATAGGATTTAAAGACAATAGACTTTTAACCAGTAGATAAACCAGAAAGAAGTGACACAAGATAACTACAAGTTATTAAAGGAACAAAGTGGACATAACGCATTGTGTTATTGGATAGTACGCCTCCTTGCAAACTTTAGTTATGGTTGATTCTCTACACAAATCCCTTGAGATAAACAATTCTCAAGAAGAAAAATTTCTGAAGCTAGTATTCTTTCCATCGTCATAAGGAAAAAAAGTAAGAAAGAAGCATGTTGCATTTGCCCCCAAGGCCTTAGATAGCGTTGGGGAGGATTCTGGGAAGTTAGAGGTTCAAGTGTTATTGTTAGCAAATGAGGACATGCCAATATGTACCTCCTCATGATTCCATTGTTTTCAACATCCAACAGTCAACTAGGTATTTGGCATGTAATTTCTTACTAGTCCTGCAGACACTTATATGTAAGAACTTCAAAATTTTGCATATTGCATCAAAAATTTTTACTGCAAGCTTGCAATTGTATTATGAACTACACTATTCATCCAATTGCAAAGAAGACAATTAAAATGCTGCATGTATTACATGCAATTGTGTCATCCATTTTGGCATGCATTACTTGGCCTGAGGGCTATTACAATGGGAAACATAATTCCTAAAGAAACTGTACCTACATTGCAGAATAAATCTTGCACTGGTCGATTTGAGCTCAATACAGGATTACAACTTGAGCTTGAGACTGTCCATTGAGATCATACACCTTCAATAGACGTCTATACTGTCTAACTAGCAAGCAAAGAAGTAGCACAAAATTCCCACATGATTATGACCTACATCCCAAATCACACTCTATCAAGTGGTAGTACTGATTTAAAGTAAGTCAAATAGAAATGACAGGTATTCAATGTGTTTTTCATATTTAGAGTAGCACAACCATCTAGCTTCAACAACATAGGCACTCATTAACCATAATGCTAGTGGCTGCATGAGTCATCCCTTCACCACTCTTATGTATGGGCATACATTATTCACGAACCAAAATTGATGGTTCGGCCAACAAATCAAATTCAATTAATTTTTTTTTCTCAACACAGATAAACATATGACGCACCATTATTGTAGATGCATGGTTGGAAAAATACTCATACATACCTGCTTACTGATAACAGGATACCAAGGAAGAATAGAATTCCTTGAGTATCAATACGAGATAAAGCTTGCGGTACTTTTAACCTTTGCCTTCCCGACTCTCCATAATGAATTGCATCTGTTAAAATCCAAAGCACCCCAAGCCCAAGAAGCATACCCATATAAGGAGGGAGACCTGTAACACCTTTGAACACAGGAACAAACAGTAGAGCACCTAGACCAACAACAAAAACAAGTTGTCCTCGAGGAGCCATTTGCTCCGATGCCAGCACACTAGAAGAATTTTGACCTTCCCCATCAACTTCACTATGTGACAAGAAAAATCAAACTGTTAGGTATTATTGCTTTTAGGTTAACCCTGGATGAGAATAAAACGGCTGTGTGTCACACTGTCACTTTCACTTACCTAGTGAGAGACATAAGAGCCAGTGGGACAGCCAAAGAAATGGCTGAAGGGATAAACAAACCCTGCCAACAAATACAAAATCAGACAAGATCTATTTCAGGCATTAAAACAAACCAATTTAATCCAACGCATATCAGAGTTTAACCAAAAATAAAAGACGAAAAAAGCTGGAAAATAAATTGTAGATAATTTAAAAAACAAAAAAAGCAATAGAGAAAGAAGGGTATAAAGAAATGGTAAAATAATATGCATTATGAAGTGCCAAGCAGATACCTTAATCGTCTCCAGCGTGGAAATCTGGCCATGAATCCACAACATTGTCGTTGTAACATCACCAATAGGTGTCCATGCACCACCAGCATTTGCTGCTATTACAACAACAGCACCTAACAACCTATCAGATTAGATTTCAATGAGTGAAACATACTTTATGGGATTCAAAGAGATCGTGCACAAGTAAATATCTTTTGGTTGCTAACTATCATTATCCAGTAATTGACAGCAGCCATGGACATATATAGATCACTATGGAAATAGCAATCTGTATATCTCTACACATGACAATATAGATAAGAAAATTGGAGACGTGCTCCAGAAACCTAACAGTTAGCCAAATCGTGGAGGACGATCCTAGTGGATACTCCATAACATTCACCATGATGCTAATGCCTCATGTTTGATGAGCGAAATGATGATACAATCATATGCCTGGAAACTTTTAATCCGAAACTAGTGCAACACTTTAT